TATCGAGACGATGAAGGGACCTGATAGGACTAATTACATACATGAGCTAGGAGCTCAAAAAAGTCATAGTCGTCGCGAAGATGCTGCTAACTTGCAAGCCCGCTAGGCCCGATAAGCCTATCTGTATACGATCCCCATCTACCCCAAAACAGGCGGCAACTACTCAGCCTCTGAGATTCTGGCCCTGGCAATCCCGGCCCGGCAAAGGACTGCAGGCGTCGATCCTCTGGAGGACCAGGAGGGCCCTCGTCTTCATCGTCCTCTTCGGAGCTTTGCTGCGCTGGTGTAGGGTTTACGGGGTGTGGGCCGTTTTTGGCTATAGGGTTTCAGCACTCACAGGTTGTTTCGGGTTTAGCCTCCCGCAACTCCGACAATGCAGGTGGCGAGGAGGAGCTTAAGTCCAGAGGATGCCGACTTGCTTCAGGACTTTCCGGCTGTAAATGCCTGGCTGTCTCCCCCCTCACTCGTCTTGTTCTTTCTCTTCCCACCACAGAACGAGTTGTGCTCTGCAAGCGGCTTTGAACGAGTTTTGGGAAGTGCTGCAATACTGCAACGAGCCATGTGATGAGGCTGCGGCAAGCTTTTGAACTGAAAGCGAAATCATAGAACCCTCAAGAGCCTTTGGAGACACGAAGAGCCTGAGATAATCAGGTATGCCAACACATCCTAAAACCTTTTTTGCTGTTGGACTCAAGTCTAGCCAGACCACGACCTGCTATCATCTTTTTGCCTTAACCCTACTTAAAGGATAACTAGGGTAACTATACTTATCATTACTTATAACCCCAATTAAGGTACTTATAACTCCACTTACTAAGTCCCATGATCCTCCAAGTAAGCCCTTAGCCTCGTCGTGCGCGGCACCCTCAGCCTGGTCCTGGAAGTTGCGATGCTCGGGACTCGCTCTCGGACATGGTCCAAGCGACCGGCTCTTCCGCATCAGCGAATTGTAAACCAAAACATTGGACTGGAGAACATTAAGGTCCAAGGTTTAGGTTGGTTCTGCGCCTCGCCTGGCCGGGGTTCGCTGAGCCGTTGCTAAACCATGAACTCCCGATTTTGAGGACTGGTTCCAATTCTATTGAGGTCTGCCTCTATGAATACGCTGACAGCGCTGGCAGTAAACGCGTCAGCGGGACTGTCGACTCTGCTGCCATCCGAGTCAATCCACACAGCTCTGAGCCCCGAAACTGCCAAATCATGCAACCCCCTTCGGGTCCAGGACATCTGCCGCGACGCCAAAGGCTTGGACATCATCCTGCCAAAAGCAACGCTACATCCCTATACTCTGGCCAGGGTATCGCAGGATGGTAGGCTACACCTTGGGTCCACGGCCACCGGCAGACATGAATTTGAGATAAACCAACTTGGCGATGCTTGCCGAAGGCTCGTGTTCTCTTAGCCTCCTAATCCAGGCGGTATCAAGCTAAACTAACCCTGCTCTTTCAAGAAACTACCTACAGACCCACGGCTCATCCTGACGCCGACCTCCTGCGTGAGGTTTAGATCTGGCGCTCTTGATTCGCTGGAAGGTCTTGGCCTGACTTGACGTGCCTTTCAGTGTCCTCATCATGATAATTCGCTTATTAATGTTCCAGTGAAGGCCCTGTTTGTACCTCTACATATATACATATATATATATATATATATATATATATACCCTGAGTATCCCTAAACCCTGTAGACCCTAAGGGAGCCCGTTTTCAAGCCCTCGCCAGAAAGGCGCCACCTCCAGTGGCAAAGGCTCCGGAACCTCCCCGTCAGGGTCTGCCCAGGCCTCAGCTGTGGGTCCCTTCCCCCCAAAAAAGCATGTAAGCATAAGCATTGTGGGGATATCCCTACCTTATTGGCCTTTCTTATAAGGGGGCTTATATGGGGTATCCCTATCCTTCTTTTTGCTTATGTGCTTTTTGGGGGCCCTATTCAAGACCTTCTGTCCTAAACCCTAAACTTACTACCCCAATAGGCCACAGAAATACAAGGTTAAACTTTCCGATTCCTACTAAACTATAAGAGCCCACAAAAAGTTTAAAGGTTAGGTATTGGGGATCTAAGTAAACCCCAAGCCCTGAACACTAAACCCTATAAGCCCAAACTCTCAACCCTAGATTTGAAACCCTTCAACCCCGTAAACCCTCAACCTTAAACCCTGTAAACCCTAAACCCGAAGCCCCCAAACCCTAAACCGTATAGAATCCATTATGTCGTGGTTGCAAACACAGGTCCAAGTAGCTCCTGGTGGTCCTCGTGTCGGGCGAGGCCCCCGGGGCAGAGAGCCTCCCAAGCCGAAGGGGGAGACGGCGCCGGTTGCTCCACCTGCGGCGGCAGAAAAAATCGCGGTCGATTAAGGTTTAGGGTTTAAAAATTTTGTTAGGGTTTTTTTGCTTATAGTTATAGCCATTATCATGTCTGACGAAGCCTCAAGCGTGTTTTTTTCTAGTTCGTGTTGCCCGAGTGTCTGCATTTCGGACAACTGTGGACCTGGGGGATGCTGCAGCGCACAAGGTACGCTTCATTAACGTTGCTTTGGTTACATACTTCCTATGTCGCAAATTGATATCAAGCCCCATAGACTCACAACCCCGACTTGCACCTAACCCTCGCACCTTCAAAACGAACTCTCTAAGGGCGTGTGCAGCACAGTTTGCTGCAGATCTGCCTCGCAGCCAAGGGGTTGGCTCCACTGGCATAGGAGAGGGGAAAGGATCCGCTGGCATGACACCCGACTCCTGCGACTCATGCGTTGATGTCTCGTATTCAAGGACATCCGAATTCTGTGTAGGGGTCTTGTTCACAAGTATCATATTCTGTCTCTGGCTCATTTTCTGACAGTCCTGTGATAGAAGAGCAAGAGGCTGCAAAGCATCTATCGCGACAACACTTCAGCTCTATTTCTATAATATTGTTAGTCTTCTTACGTCAGCGGCAGCACCAAGCTGCTTAGAAGCGGCTTGAAATCAATGGCTGATGTCCCGAGGGATCGGGCTAGCTAAGTTGCTCATTGTGTATTCGACCAGGTGGAGGGTCTCATTGTGAGATAATTCGGCTTAGGGTTTAGGGCGGCGTGGGATTTACACTCTAAATGATGACGCCAGGGTGTTGAAAAACATCGCGGCGCACATGGCTTCCGCATTGCAAGCCACAGCAAACACGGCAGAGCGTCAGGCGTTTGGTTTTGCCTCTGCAAAACATTCACTCGATCCCGCTCAAGTTGTCTATGCAAGCCAAACACCTGGTCGACTCTGTCACACACGCACACAGAGACTCACACACACACACACACAGTCCTCCTTGCACTTGAGCATGACTTTGGGACCTATGCTCGGAAAGGCCGAACTCAAACTGTTTGGTTGGACTATTCGATGCATTCGAGCTCCCGCACCTCTTAGTCTCGGATTGCATGCTTTGCAAGATCGGTAGCATTTCAATCTGCACACAGCTATCCCGTGGAGATCCTTTCTCTTCGGCCTGGTCCTAGTGACATGACCTCTCGCATCTTAGTAACCAGCTTTTAGGATTTTTCTTTGGGGCTTTGTGTGGCTGACTGGGATAGTACTTGTGGGGTATGGGCGCATCCAGATATAGCCCTCAACCGGTGCAATGAGTTCAGGGCAAATGTCCGGATATCTGGCGTTGCCCGGAAATCGCCTCATTTCGACAAGAAAGGAATGAAGTGGCAAACAAGGGCTCACTAGCATGACCCTGACCGTCCCCGCAAGTGGTGCCTTTCGACAAAAAAGTGTTGATGTTATGTCTGCATCAACGTTTGGTCGAATTACGATGCTGTCTGTGGTTATCTATATGGAAAGGGCCATTCAGAATCTATCTATACCGTGTAAGGACCCCCCGCCCAGATAATGCTGTAAACGGGCCCGCCACTCCCAACAAGCGAGTAAGCCTTAGATAGACGGATACACACTCAAAAAAGCCGGCCCTAAACTTGAAACCGAACGCAAACCTGTCCAACACTTCAAAGTGTGACGACGGAAGCTCGCTTGGTGAGATGACAAGTGCGTCGGGGGGGGGGGTGCCCCCACCTACTCGATGATGCACCTCCTTCACATCCCACATGCCTGGAGCATACACGCATTAAGCGCACACAGCATGTGAATGAAGAACTCAGCATTCCGGATTGTAACCTGTTGCAAGTATGCTTGTGATTATCTTGCCCGGATCACGACTTCGTGCAATAAGCACAAATACTGCGCTATAACTGCCTTGGTCCCTTACCCAGTTAGAGGCCTCCAGTATCAAGTCTACACACCCTGAAACCCCGTGCAGAAAGCTCCACAATATGTCTAAGACCTTCTTGAGCCCTGGTCAACCCCAGATAATCAGCATAAAAGCTGCAAGTCCATACAAGACCCTAAACCCTCCCTCTCAATCCCAAACCCCAAGACCCTTTTCCCCAAAACCCTCAGAAGGCCCCAGTCGAGTCGCTGCTGGTATTGATCCGGCCATGTCCCCGCAGCAAGGCAGTCGACAATCAGCGCCTTCGGGCAGGTTTCGACGCTCACACTCGCAAGCAGCAGGCAAGGCTCCACATAGTCCAAAGTATCTCCTGTACTCCGTAAGCTGCACTGCACCGTCACAGACCCTGCAGAAACCTTACAATCAAATTCACATACTCCCAATAACAGAGTCTACACAAATACATGTATCGTGACAGGTACCTGCACGGAACAGCTTGGGCAGCCGGGACATTGCCCACTGTTTCAACACAAACCTTGCATCCACGCAGGTTCGGCCCATGCAGTCATGTCACCGTAGTACACAGGTGCAGACACTTTTTTTGCCCATGCCTGGAGACGTATGTCTTTGCCAGCATGTAATTATGCAGGCATTCCTATGGGAGGCACTGCAGATAATGGCTTAAGAGCGACATCAAAACAAACACTTTTAAAAGCGGCAGGTTGAGCCCACCCCGACGTCTTTGCGGGAGGCACAACAACTGCCAAAAGGAGCTTCTGAGAAGCATGCAGCCGTTCTAGTCGTAGAGTCTAGGCAGCCAGCAACTCAGCCGCGGATTCAGCAAACTCCTCCCCTCCTTGGCAGACGTCGGAGACACAGTCTTCGAAGATCTCTGCATTGATGCCGTCGGCCTCACGCATCTCCCCTCCAAGATGCTTCTGGCAGAGCTTCTCAGCCTTGGCACGCTCGGCCTCATCACAGGAAGCCTCGCTACCGTGGCCGTGGCCTTCCAGGAAGGTCTGCTTGGTTTCCAGGTGATCGAGGAAGTCGGCGGCTTCGGCAGTGCCACCCAACTTCGCCCAGCCCATGTTCGTCTGGAACTTCTTCTTGTGCTTGCCGCCGTTGCCCACCTGGATCTGGCCCTCCAAGAACTGGCTGTCGTCCATGTTCGGCATGCTGACGCGCAGGTTGATGCCGCTGGGCTTGCAGACGGTGTTCAGGACGATGGTGTCCTTCTTCCCGCGCTCCCCGTTCATGCGCAGCATGATCTTCTTCTCGTTGACGTACTCGAAGCTCGTGACGTATTCCTCATCCTCCAGGAGGGACAAGGAGTGGCCGTGTTTTTTCAGCACCTCCCAGTGGCCGTCCTCCCCCGTTTTGCTGCGCCACTGGCAGTCTTTGCTCGAGAGCTCCAGGGCCTGACGGAAGCGTCCCACGGAGTGATCCAAGAGGAGCAGGCCCTGGGCCGTCCACAAGGGGCCGCCGTAGTGGGAGTAGAGCTTCCAGTCCACCATGGCATGGCTTCCCTTAGCCTTGGGGCCCTTGGCTCCCTTGTGCTTGGGCGCGTTAGGAGCCTGGAGCTTCTGGCCGGAGTACTGGAAGACGGTGTAGGTGCCGCTCTCGTAGAGGTCGAACTTCTCACCGTCCAGGGTGTAGATGTGGGGGTCACCCCAGACGCTGCCACCCCTGCACGTGGTGAATCGCCGCAGACCTCCCGAGCCTCCCAAATACATCTTCATCGTGCGCACGTGCGTGGTCAAGAGCTTCAGGACCGCCGGGTTGCCGTCCTGACCGGGGCCATCGGGGGCGGAGATGTTCTTCAGCAGACGGTTCTTCGTGCCGTAGAGCTCCACGAAGGTGGGCTCCTCAAGATCCCAGAGCTCCACCTCATCCAAGCTCTGGAGTTTCTTGAAGGTGATGGTGATCAGCACACCCGGATGCTCTCCGCAGTCGTTGACCTTGCGCCGGTTGCCGTCCTTGGACCAAACGGCGATGGTGCAGTCCTTGCAGCGCTGCAGGTCCTTGTCCACGCTGCGGAACTCCTCGCGCGTGTCCAAAATCAGGAGGGGCCCCGGGCAAGGCTTGCCAAAGCCCGGCTCCGGCTGTGTGGCGCGGCGAGTGGCCGTGATCGTCATGCCCTTCACGGAATCCGGCTTGATCTCGGTGCCATGACTGAAGCCACTGAAGTTGAACTCCGTGAGGGGCTCCCCTTTGCAGAAGCCCTTGTTCCAACTCTTCTGATGCAAGGCGTGCTCCAGCTCGGCCTTCATCTGCTTTGCCTCGACCATCGCGACTTTGTCCTTGTGAGCCCCGTGCGCCTGGGCCTGCAGCATGCAGGAGCCATCTTGACCCTCCTCCTCCGCCAGCACGCAAGCCAGCCCTGTAAAGAACAGGGCCTTCCACATGATGTCCGGTTCGGTCTGCTAGGCTAGCTAGGCTTGCAGGTGCTTTATGCCTCAAGCTTGAGCCAAAATGTTTTTTGACACTCACACTCGGACAAAGCCTTTAACGGTTCGTGTTTGTGTATTTGGGACTTTGCAGGGCTTCGGGATGCTCGGGGTTTGGGGCCTTCAGGGCTTCAGGGGTAGGCAGGATACAAGGGCTTTCGCGGCTGTAGGTAAGTATTCGGACGCTTAACTCATTTGCAGGCAGCAGTCCGAGTGGCGAGAGTCCATTATACTGCAGTTTAGTAGTTTAGTATTAAGGGGTTGCTGGTTTTGCTGCTCTCGGGCTGCGAGTTTTGACGTGAAGGTAAGGTAGACCGTACAAACAACCGCAGCTCAGACATCCCCTCGCCCTCGATTTCATCCGAAGGGGCCGCACCATTGTATCGCAATATAGCGGCCCGTTGCAATCGTTAGGTGCAAGTGCAACTTTCTCCCGAATGACAGTACCCTGCGTGAAGTACCCGGGGAGATTCCTCCAAACAAGTTCGTGAAAGGTTGGTTGGCGAATTTCGGCCAGCACACAGAAAACTCAGCCGCTCTCCAACTCCGGTCGACACTGAGTCCTATACATATACTCAGACGTATGTATATGTGTATACGATGTATACAAACACATTATAAACATGTGTATGAAAAAACAGGTAGATAGATACATCGCAAGAAAGACAGAAAGAAGCACAGACAAATAGATATGACTCTCTCTACACCCACTATCTATATTATATATATATATATATATGCCCTTTGAACTCGCCAGGCCAAACCTCGCCTGCTTTCGCGATGCAGAGATGTCAGCTGGTCTCGGCTCAGGGTTGCGTGAGGCTTCCCCCTACTCTTCAAAGGATAGTGCGCTTGTAACATATACCATACCATTTTTTGTTCTTGATGTGACATATATATATATATATATATATATGATATGATATACACATGTATATGTGGGTGCTGTCATGATTGAACAGCTGATTGTGTTGTGGCGACAAAGATGCCTGCCTTCCTGATCATAGTGTTCGAAGTAGTAGAAGTCTCTGCGTGACCGAACCAACACGGTTTCAGAAGCTGCTCTTGTCCTTGTGGCTCCGTGCTCCCTTGCTTTAGCTGAGCCTGTGGCTGAGCACGTCAACAAAAGCATTGAATGCTCCACTGCCCGAAACCTTAAATGTAAAGCAGCACGACCCCTGAGCGGAATCCAGGTGAGCAGCTGCAGCCGAGTGGCACATGGGAGCACTGAACCGGATCACATGCCTCCAAGTAGGACTCAATTCCTGCCCCAGAGGGGGTTACGTCGTGCTCATGGCAGCTCGTCTTCATGTCTCCGCAGATTAATCGGAGACGTTCACAGATGCTGTCGGCTCATGTATGGTAGAGACCTTCATCGCTTGCATCCTAACCCTCCCGGCGACGGCGAAAACGAGCATAACGGCAACGAGGTCGTCAGCATTCTAGCTAGAGCTGCTGTGAAAGCCAGTCGACTCATGAGCTCACAGGAAACAGACACTCGCGTCGGCCTGGGGTAGCAGCAGAAAACATCACGATGATGATGACCTGAGTCTAAAGCATGTACTTGGAGCCATATCGTGCAGGAAGTGGACGAACATAACATGTTATGGGAGATCCTGGTCAAAGAAGCAATCAGCAAGGCATGCACATTTACCAGTTCGGCATTGACGCAGCAGTGCAAGCAATATTCATGACGACATTGCGAGGCAGACTCCTGCTCTGAGGTCTATTTCGTGATATGTTCGCGTTACAATGATGGCGATGGTCCCTGGAACTTGCAGGTGGCAGATCTCTCTCGGCTACCGGCCATGGTGATAAAGCCCAGGCTGGCGCATCCGCAATGAATTCCGTTGCAGCAGCAGAAACAGCCGACCAAGCCTCCAAACAAGAAGGGAGAGTCCCACCAGCAATCCTCAGAAGGGAACATCCATCAAACACACGGAACGTATGTAAAACCACGCACAAGCCGCTAGGCCATGCAATGCATGGCAGAAGCAGTGAGTACTGGCTTGGACTGTCGCATGCAAGCGAACAGTCTAAATAAGTCCGGAAGATGATGCGAGACCAAAGACGGGGTGACATAGCTGAGCCCCAGGGCTGATCACAACAACGATAATCAATTCATATCAATTCCCTGCACAGCCGCACACACACACACACACACACACCCAGTTCGGGTTTAATCGGGATGGGCCCTGAACTAGTGTGTTGGCAATGGCTGAACGTATGGGATCCCAGCGCAGGCCATTTTTACCCCTCGGAATGGAAAGGACCCCTCAATGGAGCACCGCACCACCATTTCCAAAAGCTTGTAATCCTGCAGACCATTACAACACCCCAGTAGAAAGCCCGTATCTATCTATCTATTTATCTACGTATGAAAAGTAAGCAACCGTACATCTCATGCCTTGGCTGTCTTGCTGTGCGCCGATGTAGCCACAAAAGGGCACGAGCCTCGCTGCACCCGTTCAAGTCAAGTATTCTTCTGCATACTTGTCTCCTGTTCTGGTGGCATTCAAAGTAGTCTTGTATTTGTTGGACGGTTTAGGGTTTGAAGGTTTGCTTTTCCGAGCTTCATACATGACGGATCTGTGCAGGGATAACATGTGTGCATAAGGCATGCGTGTTGACCATACGGTCAAGACAGTCTCCCTGAGTACTTTTGATCTGCTCGTATGCTGTCTTGGATAGCGATGAAAGAGCAGGGGGACTGAGGTAACGAGGGTTGCTACGAACATCACCAACAACTAAGAACAAGCAAGCAATACAGCCATTCGTGAAGTTGGCGGGGAGGCAGAAAGGGTACCAGTACTGAACGCAGATGGTCGTAGTCGCAGCTGGTTCTGGAGAATACCAACAGCTGTCTTGGAAGAGGCTGTGGTAGCCGTTGATAGTGTTCTTACGTGTTGCTCTTCGTGCTGCTGGTGCTACTACTACTGCTATTGCTGTCTTCGCAAAGATATTGTGCCGAGAGGGTTCCTTGGCATGCGAATCCACCAGATGGCAAACATGAGGTCCCAACACAATGCTGCGACAGGATGCGCGACGTTAGGCCCCTAAGCTGGGCTTGAGCTCACGGTTTGGAAATGTTTTGGAACTCCTATGTGGGAGTTTCGACCCTAATATAGCACCCTAAATAGAATTTTGGGAAACTCCTATGTGCAGGCCAGATGCAGACCGAGAATGATCGACACGGTCACGCCCGGAATCATGCCTGGGAGCACTTACGGTCTCGCGGCTGCTCCGTTGGGTGTGTTAGGGCCGTTAGGGTTTTGATTCCCGCTCTCGGCGCACCTCATCATGTATCTGTCGAAAGTTCTTGTTCGAATTTCGAATTTTCACCCAAACGCCACGACTTGGCGATTGACGGGGACGGACAAGCCTCCCTTCATAGGCCTGCTGCACATCCGCCGGCTGTGAAACGTCCATTGTGAAGGAAATGTGACGGCATGTGGCCCTTGCCGTCTGCTGTGGGGTACCGGTATTGAGAGCGAGAGAGAGAGAGAGAGAGAGAGAGAGAGAGAGAGAGAGAGAGAGAGAGAGAGCCTCATGGAACGAAGGCGTCCAGGTGTAGAGCATGGAAGATGATCTCTGTCCCACCGTAGCTCCAGCTAGCTACAAAAGACGGCCCTAAAGACTCCGACTATAGGCTGCAAGCTGGCGAAAGACCTACGTGCGTCTCGGTAGCGAGGACACGATCCAAGGCAAGACTTTCTTGATAGCTTCACGGCCTCTCTGCAGAAAGCCTGAACCGGACATCTATGAAACACTTAAGTCGACTCAAGTCAAGCCCCAGTATCCAGAAGCTATCTGCCGCCCAAGCAGCGCAGAAGGAGTTTGGCAAGGATCGGCCCACCCTTGACGTTCGTGACCGAGCGGATCCTGGGCGAAGAATACTAATCAGACACTTGCAGCAGGGCACAACTCACCATTTGCGACGGTGGCACCTACTGGGTGCGAAGAATATTTGCGCATTGAACTTTGGGGATGTACACTAGGTCGCGTTGCAACATTGTTTATCACGTTGAAGAAATCGGATCCGTTGTACGAGCATTGGTTCGTGAAGACTAACTACGTAGCCCGATTACTTTACTGCTGCTGGCCGGGCGTGGCCAATCAGCTCCAAGCAATCATCGCAATTCTTGCAACACTCTGCCAAGCACCATCTGCAAGCAGAGCAGCTGTTCCAGGGCGGTCTCAATCGCGGCCGCATCGAACACGTACTGCACCAACGCGTTGACCACGACGTACAGCGCAATGATACCCTTGACGGCTTCACATGGACTGTGCTGTGATAACATCTGAAAAGGGCGGTGTCTCCCGCCTGGCCTCGCGGGTACACCAGCTTGCATCTACATACCAAAACAATTGAGATTCCGAGCTGATGCGTGTTGGTCGATATTCAGACGCCCTGAATGTCATGTAAGTCACCCTCGAGGACTTCCGAGTGCCCGGCAGAAAGGAACAGAACTCGGCGTTTCATCTCGTTCTTGCTGCGGACATCTTGCACCTGCTGTAGATCTGGCGAGCACGCAACAAATGCAACCAGCTCGAGGGCATATGGCCCTAACGTAGAGAGCCCTGTGTTGTCGAATACAGAACTATTGAATATGGGTATGATTGTTCTGTGACAATTAAAGTGTACCTCCGAACGAACGGAACAGTTGCGACTCATACCATCAGGCTTGCCAAGAAGCCCAGCATTTTCCAACTCTGTTTTCCCCAAACCCTACAAACCCTAAACCCCAAACCCTAAACCCTCCATCAAGCTGGCGCCTCTACGGCCAAAGCAGCTGGCTGTACTTGGGCCTGCTCACACGCAGAGTACTTTGGCTGGTGCCCTGGTGTTCCACTAGACTCACTGCCAATCAAAAGGTTCAGTTCATGTCAAATCTGTCAGCTGCATTTCTTGGTGTGGTTGTTGTTGCTGTTGCCTTTGTGGTTGTTGCTGATGCTGATGCTGTTGCTGCTGCTGTCGTTGTCGATGTCGGTGTGGCTGTTGTTGCTGTTGTTGTTGGTGTTGTTGTTGTTGTTGTTGTCGTTGTTGTTCTTTGCTCTTGTTCTTGTTCCTTGCTCTTGTTATGGTTTTTGTTGTAATTTGTTGTGGTGGTGTTGGTGTTGCTGTTGGTGGTGGTGTTGTCCGAGATGGTGGTGGCGGCGGGGCGTGGTGCTGGTGCTGGTGGTGCTGGTGCGTTGTCGTCGTTGCTGTTGCTGTTGGTGGTGTGTGTCGGTGTCGTCGTCGTTGTTGTTGTGGTCAGTATTCGTATCGTGGTTCTTGGTGGCTGCTGTTTGGATCACTATGCTCAGTAGGACATTAGGATAGCCAGCTCCTTGCTCGAACCTACCCTCCTAGCTATGGCACTTGCAGAAAGCCCTAATCTAAACCCTAAACGCTTGCAAGGTGAGCCTGGCCTGATCCGAGAGAAGCTGAACATCACGGGCAGTTTGTCCCTGGATCATGGCGTCCGGGACCTCAGAAGTCGCAGGGCTCCTGGGGCCGAGGGTGGTGCTGACAACCGAGTCTCTGCAGGCATATGCAGTCGGATTCGCCATGCCAGGAGAGCAAACACTGCACAACCTCATAGTGCCACGACTAATCAGACTCCATGCACAAGTAAAGAAAGTCAATAGTCGCTTGTTTTGCCCACATGACGCGGCAGCGTAGCGTTGCTTCGCATGCTACTGAGAAGCACTTTCTGAGTGATGATCGCATGGGCCATGGACACGAAGAGGCTTTAGATCGGCGGCGAGTTCGAGGTTCTCAAAAGCTGAGGCTGTGGCCCGAGGAACTAACAAACCGTTGAAAATGAGCTGCGCGGATCAGGAAATTAGAGGAAGCCGAAACGCACCGGATGACGAATGGATGACTAATGTACCGACGATGTGCCGAGGGCCACATTCGGCGGTCTAAACCCCGCTCAACATCCCTCAACCCTCCACCCCAATCAGACCCCATGCCTGAGCTGGCTGAGAATCAGGATAACAAAATTACGTTTAACAATTCCCCGGAGACAAACATTATACATAATTCGTACAGGAACACAAACCTATGCATCAAGCAGATAAGTAGTCTGCGATTCAATCTCATGCTCATAACCCCGCTTTTGCCCGCGCCGCACGCCTGGCAGACTCTGATTTCTGCGTTGCCCTCTACGAGGCCGGTTCCCATCTACTGCGTCTCAGCTTCAGCGGGCTGACGCACTTTGCCACCACGGTCCTGGCAATGCGCCGGGGTCATGATGGCAATTACGAACTTGATTCTGCACACATCAGAAGCTGCCCATGATTCTGCGGCCAAACAAAACCGACTTTTCTGCCCTTTTTGAACCCAGACTCTGCTGATCTTTTCTGCCCTAAACCCTAAACGGCTGGTCGGTGGTTCTTCGACCCAGAGCTGCCACGCTGCAGTGATTCGTCGCGGGGCCTGGAGTCGGTCCGCGATTGCGACCGATGGCGTAATGTAGGGGCCTTAATAATTAGAATAGGGTTCCCTTTTAATGGGCTCTGTTTAAGGGCTACTATAAGGGATCTATAAGCATACTATAGTATAGGGGCCTTAATAATTAGAATAGGGTTCCCTTTTAATGGGCTCTTTTAAGGGTTACTAGAAGGGATCTATAAGCATACTATAGTATAGGGGCCTTAATAATTAGAATCGGGTTTTTGGGGCCCATTATACCAGAACCATAATAACCCCAAAATAGTATTGGTAATTACTGAGGCCCCTATATTCAACCTAGAAGAACTGAAGTCAGCTTTGACTATCTTTTCTTGACTATATGTTAACATATCGGATGTGACCAGAAAAGATTACACATGACAAGGTATACTATCACAATATGTCGCGCGTTCCATTGCTATAGTTCATAGAATACAACTACACCGTGTGATTGAAATGGCAAGTACATTATGAGCCATAAAAATGTACTGCAAACTAGTACGCGTGTAATATTATGTGCTATGTTAAGCTAAAGTTACTATCTCAGAAACTTTTATTATGCTATATTATACTGTCTAACTTGATGCTGTGCTACATTCTACTATATTGTAATATGCTATACTATACTATGCTGCACTACGTGTTGTGTTATAGATCCACTCTGCTCACACTATACCTCAATAGGATCACTAGGACGTGAAGTCTGTGGACAGCCTATAGCACACTTCCCTGGGAGTACCATGTCGTGAATATCCTTACGGGCTCCCTTCTCGCGGTTCAGTCCGGTAGAAGTGCCTGGGCCGCGATTCCTGATTGCAGGCTGCCCCCACTGCTTTCCACCGTCGGAACACAAGCATGCCACCTGAACATCTTTGAACTCTTCCTTCAGCTCTGCCATCCGCGCGACCTCGGCACCACGCATGGAAAGAAGGTGGGACTGGAGCTGCCCTGGCCTCGCCCCATTCTGAGCGATGCAGGCGTGTGCACCGACACATCTAGCAGGACTGAACTACTAGATTGGCTTGAGTTGCAAAATCGTCACTTCAAGATTCTGTGGTGCCACCGCACATGGGCAAAGTATCCCTCGCATGTGTTTTCTTGATTTTTCTTGAGCAGATGGACTAGTTAGTTAAGGAATGACATACTATAGCTACTGATTTTCCGGCTGTACTTCACACGGCATGTTCATGCGTTGAGAGCTGTTCGCTGGCCAGTCAATTCTTGCACAGCTCACCGGCAACCGTTTTGAAATTTCTTGCACTGCAGCCCGGATGCTAGAGCACTTAGTCGCTCCTCCTTGTCCTTGTCTTGCGCAGAAGATGCAGAACTGAACAGCGACCGCCATTCATTCAGCAGGTGCAGTACTCAGGTTCCGTCACCTGTCAACAGCTACTTCTGACCAGCGTCCTTCTTTTGCTTGATCAATGTTGACGTCTCTAGGCGCAGCTTCAGCTGCTTCCTGGGCCATCAAAGACAAATCAGAAGCACGTCTGTATGTCTGACAAGACCAGTCGTGAAAATAATGTCGCAGCAGCCAGCAGTGACATCATGTTTTGCCCTGAATAGCAATAGCAACGGACAACGACGGGATGGATGTGGGAGTGATCGCTCCGGAAACAGAGGCACATGCATAGAACACATGAACCCAGGTTGGCACCGTGCCAGCCAGGCGGCCAACCAACCAAGTGAAGAAGGACTCTGGAAGTACTGCAAAGAAGCAGACAAACATGCAGGCAAGAAGTTTGACAAGTAGACACCCGAAGCTAGCACGCCTGACCATTGCTGCCGCTACTCCGGATTTTACTTGTGTTCCCGCTGCTGCCGCCACTCTTGCAATGCCTACGACGACGACTGCAACTTCGACTGGAATTGAGACTACTGCCGCAGCCAGTACCAAAATTACGACTACTAGTACCGCTACTACTTCTACTTCTACTACTACTGCTTCTACTGCTTCTACTGCTACTACCACTGCTACCACTACTACCACTACTACTACTACTACTACTACTACTACTACTACTACTACTACTACTACTACTACTACTACTACTACTTCTACTACTACTTCTACTACTACTCCTACTACTACTACTACTACTACTACTACTACCACTACTACTACCACTGCTACTACCACTGCTACTACCACTGCTACTACTACTACTACTACTACTACTACTACTACTACTACTACTACTACTACTACTACTACTACTACTACTACTACTACTACTACTACTACTACTACTGCCGATACTTCTAACAAAGTCATACTATCATAATTACAGACAATGATAACACGAATAATTGCAACTATTCTAACAATGAACTTACTGCTGTCACTGCTGTTGCTTACTGCTTCTGCAACCACTCATGCTAATGACTACTCCTCTCTTACCAGGAATACTGCCTGGACGACAACGATGATGCTGCCTATCGGATTCTCATTACTACTTGCTCTTCATTTCTCCAAACTTGCAGCTGTGCCGCTGGTCGTGCTCATTGGCCTTTTCCTGTCTCTCAGGTTTCGCCAAGTGTGCAAACATGAAGCCTTCTTGAGCAAAAGCGAGGCCACAATGAGGACTTTTTTGGGGGGATCTTGTGCCGTTCGAGACCCTGCAGGTACCCTAAACCCTAGGTTGTATGGGTCCCAGTAACTCGAGATCTTGGGGTCTGAAGGATGGCAAGAGCTAAGGCTAAGGTCGGGCCTTGTAGTCCTGCATCTGCTGCCGGATAGCCTGCAACAGAGGCAGCGGCCATGCACTGTCGAGGTACTATAGGGGCCTTAATAATGAGAATAGGGTTTGGGGCCCATTATACTATAATTATAGTAACGGACCCCCCAAAATAGTGTAGGTAATTATTTAGGCCCTATATCACAGGACCAAAGAGTCTCGGTAACCGTGAAGAAAGTTCTCAACCCAGGTGCTCTTCGAGACACTTGAACAGCGGGGCACTGCAACGCAAAGGCTATCGGAGGCAGCACTGTTATTTGCAGTTGGGGCTATGATTCTGTGGCATCCGCCCGCACGGCACTGCTTATGCCATCTTTAATGTGCGCAGCCCAGAGATTCACTTTATAAAAACCCTCCATTGCAGGATGGTTGAATGCACGCACCCCAGACTAGACTGAAGAACACTCCCATTTCGGGCGAGGATCGGCCAGAGCCGTCTGCACCAGGTCTCGGAGGTCTCCTAGAAAGTTGCAGGGATCTTGGCACGCACAATTGGACAAGCCAGGCCAGACTCAGGCCAGGTTGTGGGATGTAGTGGGTGCGTAGTCGGATGAGGTGGTTTAGGGGGTCTCGACGCTCACACTCGCACACGATAGGCAAGGCTCCTCATAGTTGAGGGGGTTTATGGTTCAAGGTTTTGGAAGGACCAATGTCTCGGATTGCATGGACTCCTTTGAGGCTGCCGTATTTCAGCCTGCAGGAGAAGTCGCGAAGGACACAGCCATCTGAAGCCACGGCTGTTTGTGAGGAATGAATGTCCCCATCTAGCAGGCGATGCTACAGAGCCTTGTGTAGCGTCAACATCAAGCCCCACTTTGGTACCTCGTCGAACAGCAGTGCAGCAGCAAGAGCTGCACTTTGGCTTGAGAGTTGCTCCTTCGACCTCTCGTGTCCCAGAAGTCTAGATTGCAGGAAAAGAAAGACGTGGATCTTCCTCCGGTCGGTGCTTTGGTCTTCTTGTGTCTGCGCCCGTCATCTCCCGATCCCAAGACAACGACCCAAAATGTAGATACAAGTCCTTTCAACCAGCCTTGATTCCGGATTTCCGGCCCAGGGTCCGAAACAGTTGAGCATCACCTTCCCTGCTCATGTTTATGGCATGGAAGACTCTGATTGATTGCCAAGGCAGCCCGAAAGCTACATAGTGGAACACTGTTTCGAAGTGCTGTTACCGTCAGCAGCTGCACTAGGTCCTCCATCGAGGCTGTCATGCTCCGACATGCTGGCACAAGCTGGGCGTGCCAGAAAAGGCGTGCAGCTCCCCAGGCTAGTGGCGCCTGATAAGCTTGTCTACTAAATTTCTGACCTTTAGTCCTTTCTCCCCAAATCCCTCTCTGCTTTTCGTGCCAAGCAAGCTAAAAAACATTCGCATGAATGTGCATGTAGCCACAGTTACATATGGTCAATGGTTTCTGCCAGACAAGCAACTGTGCATGCATGTGTTTGTACTATAAACGCCCTGTGCAGCTTGTGTGAATGCACATCGTCGGGTGCGAACTGCCTGTTCTCCGTAGTTTACTTGTCCAAAGTGAAGTTTAGCGTGTCTTTGTTGCAACTGGCCTCTAATTATAGCTACCTATTGCTGTTCGACCCAGGGGCTTTCTTGCTGGCGAAAACCGCACACAACTTGTGCACAAGAAGACTGTCGCAAGCTTCATGCATGGGATGTCTTGCTCTCCATGGACGTGCGCAGATCCTATGAGGGAATGCCCGGTCGGCTTGCTGGGAGTAAATTTTAATCTCCAACACACAAGAGGGTTGGATTGATCCAACCCCCCCGCTCTCTTAAACCGCGAATTGAATGAAAAGTCTTCTCTAACACACAGGGAGGAAAAAGCCTTCATCACGAATGAAACGTCTTTTCCGACAGTGGAGTAAAACCCTACGAAGCCGAATCCAAGCCTCCCATGCCGGAGGCCTTTTTCCGTTCTGCTGTCAGCTAAAGGAAAACTCCAACTCTTCAGGCGCGGAAAGCTCGGAGCACTGCCATCTCCCCCGGTGTATTAGATTTTGCGAACTAACACTTTCAAGGTCCGGAATTGGTTCTAAATAATGCCGGCCGAACTTCCCAACAGCGCCACATCGAAGCATGAGCGGCTCCACAGAGAGCCGCACACTGGACGGCCTGCCGCAGCACGAACTGTGCGCGCTCAGCTGGAGAGTAGTCGCCTCGATGCAACCAAAGAATACGCAAAAGCTGGTAGGCATATACGTGTGTAGACATTTACCACATATCGCCCACTATCGTCTTGCTGGCTTCAGGCGCTTGTCACGCCGAGAACCGCGGTTCAGCAAACGACGGTTCACACGTGAAGATCCGGAAATAACATCCAAAATGCTGAAATTACGTGGGAAGAAAGTTAAAACGTGAGCACAGTAGCTGGAATATACTGGGAATGGCTTCGGGAATTGCGGTAGCAAGTTGAAGTGAAAGAGCGGTCATGCAAGCTCCAAGTTTGGAGGAGCAGGAGGTAGGACTCTGAGACGGTTAGTTCGAAGTCACAGACAAATGGTTCGCATGATCATGTCGGTGCGTCTGCCCTTGCACTGACTATTGCAGGCACTGCGAAACATGTACTTTTCTCATGCTTCTCGTCTGCATATTGACGAACAGCTTTTACAAAGCTCGTTGCAAGGTTGATCGAGGGAATTAGCACAAACCTGAGCAAGGGAACCAGAAAGTGGTCTTAAATTAGCTGAGCTTGCCCGCCTACTGTACCATTCGAAATCTAAGTTTCGAGCGGATTGTGGATCGCCCGCTGCCGCATTTGGAACCTAGTCTCTACTGGCTCTATGGGACTTGTGTTGTTGTGTTGTTTAGATTTCTGGAACTGAGTGGTAGCCGTACAGCATCCATTAACAAAACTGTACACCCCATGTAATGCAGTGCAAAAGGGCACTGGACAGATTAATCCAACGACAGCGCACATCTGAAGCAAATCCTCAGCCCTAAACCCCAACTTTATATCCGAAACCCCGATCGTGCAATCAGTCATCTTCGCGAAGAAGCACCATATGCAGGGCTACCATCTTAGGGAGACTCCACGGGCCCACAAGCCACAGGGCTTACATCGCCTATCTCAGATCTCCCCAAGCCCGCAGCAGTCGAAGGTTGTTCTTGTCCTTTAGTAAAACCACATGGTAATTTAACAAGCACAATCCGGCGATTTTGACATCAAAGCAGGTCACGCGTAGGTCAATGACAATGTGAAGACCCCGCTGCTGAGGTCCGGACAGAAGTCTCTGTGCAGTGCTCGTGGCCTCTCCCAAGCGAAGATCTGCCGAGTCAATGCCAAACCTCATCCTGCTGACTTGGGAGTGTCCGACAAGAAGGGGGGTACCTTATTTTGGGGTCCTTATAATAAAATTCCTACTATTTAGGGTGCTATATTGGGTGGATCCGGTGGATCGGTAGGATTTTTGGGGATTTTCACGTTGGCTTGCTTTTCATCGACTTCGCCGCCTTCTCAGATCTTGACAGCATCTCAGCTAGCTTACGGATGCCTGTTCGCGGGGAGGGCTGAGCGGCAACGGGGGCACCTGATGGCTGCTATGCTAGTCCGTGGGAAAAGTCCGCATTAAGCCTCCGGACTCACAACGATGGAAATGGCCTGTATTAGCAAGAATCTCCGCAGGGCAAAGGTGGAGTGCGTGATTGAATCCCGGATCGCAGTCACTCGAGCAAAGCGAGGTCCTGAAACCGTGCTCACACTGCTGCTTCGCATCCTCCGTGGCGCCCTGAGCCCGTGAGATTAAACCGTCCGCATTCTCCACAAGTTTGGGGGTCCATAGACGCATGGTTCACTGCATAAGCGAATTCATACATACACAGGACATTGTGCCTTTCGCGCATTTCATCTCTATTTACATGCAACATATGCATGCACGCATAGCAGCCCTGCAACATGTGCATGGTATATGTATGTATGTATGTATGTATGTGTGCGTGTCTGTATATATACACACAGAGAACAAATTGATGTGTATATTATTCTTTATGCGCATACGCGCACACATAACAATAGATACAAATACATACGTCTATACGTACTTACATGCTTACAAACATAAATACATACTTACAAGCATACCAACCATCCATCCATCCATCCATCCATCCATCCATCCATGCACGCACACATGCAAAAATACTTACAGGATTATACACATACATAACTACATAATTACATACATACACACATGCGTACAGACATACATACATACAGACCTACATAGTTGCACACATGCATGCATGCATACATACGTGCATACACAATTACATACACACATACATACATACATATACATACATACACACATACACACATACATACATACATACGCATACACACATACATACATACATACATGCATACATTAATACCTACATACATCCATCCATGCATGCATGCCTACATGCATACCTACCCACCTACAGACACATAGACCTATATTATATAGAGACATACACAGACCGACACAGACCTACACAAATACACAGACATACAAACGCATGTATAGATATAGACATAGACGTAGATATAAACATAGCCACATACACACGTCCATACACATATACATGCATGAATCCAGACACAAGCATGCACACGTACATGCATGCTGCATACTCACACACTTTACATCACGGGTGACACAAGGAGGACTACAAGGCAGCAGCAATGGCAACCACATCTTAAAGTGACTTGCACTCCTTTCATGCCTCGCTAAAGCCTAGACCTTAGAGCTGGAGCTTGAAATGCTTAGAGTCTTGAGCATCTCATGACTGGACACGTAGAACGGAACGGGTTATTATTTCAAGCTTCCCATCCGCCCCCGGACTTTCCGGATTTACACGTGGAATCCTGGTGATTCTGGAGAATGCAGAATGTAGACCACATTCCCGGTGAGGAATTGAGACAGTGAACGACTACTAGAAATCTAAAGCATTGAGCACGCGCTTTGTTTTGTGTCGCAGGGGTTCCACGGCCCGCGGCTGGTCGGAGCGCGCGGTCCTTCGAGGCGGAGCAGTCAGAAGATAGCATCCGCCTGCCAATCGTGGTCACACTGACCATATCCGTCGCAGCCGAAGCAAATCAGCTTGCCGTTGCTGCTCAAGGCACAGGTATGATAGATTCCGGCAGCCACTCCGAGAACGGGGCCTAAGTTGGGGGGTACATCACATTCGCCACGGTCTGAGTCTCTTCCGAAACAGACCAACTGACCATCGAGCCGTACCGCGCACGTGTGATCACGTCCAGAGGATACTGAAACCACCGGACCCAAGTTTGGAGGCACATCGCACTGGCCGTGACTATTGGCACCAAAGCATTCGAGCTTGCCGTTCAAGCGCACAGCGCAGGTATGGAACGAACCAGCAGACACAGATGCGTAACCGCTTGAAAATTTCGGACATTGACCATCGGAATTAGATCCGAAGCATGCGAGGTGTCCCGAAACTGTCACCGCACAAGTATGGCTACGGCCAGCTGAAACGAGAGCAATGTCTGTGGACAGCGGGCGAGGCACATTGCATTGGCCGTGCGAGTTGCAGCCGAAACAAACCATGCGGCGATCGGCTGTGACCACGCAGGTGTGCAGGAAGCCAGCGGACACGTCCACCACAGAACCGAGCCCCACTGGAACATCGCACTGGCCATTTCTGTTGTCTCCGAAGCACATCAGCTCGGAAGCTTCGTTCACAACGCAGGTGTGGCTGCGGCCGGCGGCGACCGTCCTCACTCGGCCAAGGTGCGCCACGTTGCACTGACCGTAGGTGTTGGATCCCCAACACAGCAGCCGGCCGTCTCGTGTCAGCGCACAGGTGTGGCCAAATTGGGTGGAGACGGGACTGCGCTGAAGGAGGGGAACAAAGCTGCGCAAAAGCTTTCTGCCAACCTTGTCCATGAGAAGTCATGGCATCCCAAACGTGTGTAGGAGTCACCGCTGCTAAGTTAAAGTGTGACGAGATTGCCAAGTCCACTCCTATCCGAAGTTTTCCAGTGCACCGCATCCACTGCTTCATCCAGGAGGCATCTGCAAGACTATGTGCGCACAGCTTGGATGGTATGATGATGCCCAACGGTGTCCCGAAAGTTCCTTTGGTTTTCCTACATAAGGATGCCGGAGAAAGCACATGTCTGTCATGCTGTAGAAACAGTCTTTGCATGCCACAGGCCTTCAATGCAGGTGTTTTGAGAGAGGGCTGGCAGCAACCAATGTTCTACTGATTCTACTGGACTTGCTAATCTCGCGCAGACCATGCCGCGGCAACCGTTTCCTCACGGCCTTTCCGAAAGGAGCCGCTTGCACGCAGGCTTTGGGCTACGGAAGGGTGCCTAAACGGCAGGGCCACGAAAGTCATGTCGCCACTCTGACAATGCAGCAAAAGGCATTCTGTTGTTGCCACACAATCGACGCGAGCACCTCCCAACCTCCCATGTTTCCGGGTGAAACAAAAGTGCCGCGAGGCCATGATCGCCTCGCAGAAGCACTTACTTGGAGATCTTTCCTCTCTTCAAACTCGGGCCTAGCTCATCTGGATACACAGAACGAGGCAAACAATATGAGAATCGTCTTTCAAACCACAACAAGAAAAACACTAACCATTCTACGATGCTTTGCTAGTGATGCTGATGATAAGAACAGTACCAATGGCTTGTAGCCCGACCGAAAAGACTTGCACTGATGCAGAGCAACCGTTTTGGCTACACATTGCTCAGTGCGCTTCCTTCGGATCCCTCCAGCTGCAACTTCCGAGACCACACGACGTATGCCTGGGACATCGTGCAGTAGTAGTAGTAGTAGTAGTAGTAGTAGTAGTAGTAGTAGTAGTAGTAGTAGTAGTAGTAGTAGTAGTAGTAGCCGTAGCCGTAGCCGTAGCCGTAGTAGGAGTAGGAGTAGGAGAAGGAGAAGGAGAAGGAGTAGTAGTAGTAGTAGTAGTAGTAGTAGTAGTAGTAGTAGTAGTAGTAGTAGTAGTAGTAAAAGTAGTAGTAGTAGTAGTAGTAGTAGTAGTAGTAGTAGTAGTAGTAGTAGTAGTAGTAGTAGTAGTAGTAGTAGTAGTAGCCGTAGCCGTAGCCGTAGCCGTAGCCGTAGTAGGAGTAGGAGTAGGAGTAGGAGAAGGAGTAGGAGTAGTAGTAGTAGTAGTAGTAGTAGTAAAAGTAGTAGTAGTAGTAGTAGTAGTAGTAGTAGTAGTAGTAGTAGTAGTAGTAGTAGTAGTAGTAGTAGTAGTAGTAGTAGTAGTAGCCGTAGCCGTAGCCGTAGCCGTAGCCGTAGCCGTAGCCGTAGTAGGAGTAGGAGTAGGAGAAGGAGTAGGAGTAGTAGTAGTAGTAGTAGTAGTAGTAGTAGTAGTAGCAGTAGTAGCAGTAGTAGTAGTAGTAGTGGCACAAACTGTCGGACCGACATGATCCAAACTGCCTGATACTAGCACTGCCGCAGCTTAGGATCCTCGGCCCTTCTGAGCATCCGAGAATGAAGCCTGCGCACTGGAGCATTGCCCCGACTTTCCTGCGATCTTACCGGGCGACCGGGCGTAACGAAGCCTTCGGACGAGATGCAAAGTAGACGTCCAGTGCGGTGGCCATCAGCATTGGTGGTATAGCATATACCACCTGCCAGCTGTAGTGATGAAGCGGGATCAAGCCGGTCGCGAACCGCAAACGACAGTCAGCAGAACCACAACCCCCGCCCACCCAGCCATGCTAGGTCCCTTGCCCTCTCCGCATGATTGATGTTCTCGATAATAGCAGCCGGCACCAAAACGAAAAGGCCGATTAACCTTGGACGCACGGTGCACTTCAGGGAGGCGAGTGTGAGATTGAAATGCGGATCCAAACATACACTGCTATTCACGCCGGGCGGCTCAACAATCACGAGCAGCCAGGAAAAGACGAAGGCCATCCTGCAAGCGGGATTCTCGGAATACTGGGGTCCTCAGCGGTCGAGTTTTGGTGGGGGCATGTGTTGTTGTGTTAGTCAGCTTGCTCAAAAGCCTCCACATGTTGCATCAGCACAGCACACCCTACCCGGACGGCGATTATAACTATTGAGTATGCAGGGATTGACAGCAGGTTTTTCATCTTCCAATCCAGCAGGAATGAGTGCTCGTACGAGGAAGATAAGCAGGAGGATCCATCCTCAAAACTCCCCGCGCATCAGTGATGCTCTTCCCGACAGGTTTGGTAGTCCTGGAGTTTAGGTGCATCGCAACCGCACCCACAACAAGGCATACGGTTGCCGAGGGCGCACTGTCTTGCATCCTTTGTTCGTGCAGTGCTGAAGTAGGTGAACGGCTGTCACCCTCACAAGGGCTTGTGGATGTGCAGGTGCGTGATCGTCTAGAACTCCACGCAAAGTTCGGAAAACATCCGCAAGCCTTGTGTAACCTCGTCCTTGAAGCCTTGAGAAGCCTTATGAAGCGTCTAGTATGCTCACAGCCCCTCCCAGCTCGGTCCGGAGGCCAGAACGGGCGCGCCCCGTTCCACCTCAGGGGCACCAGGTGAATCAAATGCATGATGCCAGTGCTGAGGCCAGTTACACGAATCGAACTCTCAGAGTCTAAGGCTTGCATTAAGATGCCCCGCACTTCTTGCAAACCGCGGCAAAAACAACTCGACTTTCATGCGAGAATACTATGCAAGACACCCTGAAGCTGATCCATCTCTCGTATTTCAATCGTCAGACCTGGCCAACTCCAAGGAGCTTCAAGCCGAATGCCTATAAACCGCAGAAGCCCTACGTACTATAAGCCCTATGTTATATCATATAAGCCCTATGAACATAAGCCCCATAAACATAAGCAATATAGCCCCTATAAGCCCTATAAACATAAGCAATATAAGCCCAATAAGACCTCTAAGCCCTATAAACATAAGCTCTATAAGCCCTAAAAGCCCTAAACCCGAATGCATGAAAAAGCTTTGAAGCCGAAAGACCCAGGATGAGACAGGTGGCGGTGATGAACTCCAAGGCACAGGCCAGCCTGCAGTCGGTACTATATCTATATATATATATATATATAAATATATATATATATATAGTGTATAATGTTCTATCTTATCTATGTATTATAAATAGCGTATAATGTTTTCTCTTCTCTATAACATATAGTACGTATATTGATTAAGTATTTATATTACAGAAGAATTGATATTAATATGTTCTATTCCGTCAAACCATAATACTACACCATATAGTAGCAGGATTTCATGCATGCCGCCCTCTCCAAGCAAGCTTTACAACCCTTCTGCAGACGACCAAAGAAGGGCTAATGGCAAACATCGAAATCCATCAGCACGGAGAACCCTTCCAGTATCCTGAACTCGTCATAAGCCCGGCTGCGGTGCTCCATCCACTCGAAGCTTTCAAGGAACCCCAAAGCTTCGCCGATGCCAAGCCAAGGCGCCCAGCAGCCACCCGCAGAAGCGTGGCCGCATCTTTGGAGCCCGCTGCAACAGCGTGAAGGCCCGCCATGCCAACGTTCACAGCCTGGAAATCAGATTGTCGGCTTGGCGGCAGGAACAATAGCTATCATTTCCACCAAGGGATAACATATCGAGTGGATACAGATACAATCCAAAAGCTTGCAGCGCAACTCGGCCATACGCTTGCCAGGAGCATCGCAAGCTACGAAGCCGTCGTTGGATGACGAAACCATGGAGCTGGGTACTGGTTGGTAGTAACATATTCATCCGCGAAATTTCGGCACTTCTTGTGGATGTGCCTCTTCTTGTCTAACTTCCTGATTGAAACCGTCATCCTCCCGCAAGTCTGATCACAAAAACCTGCACGACCAACAAAAAGCCTATGCCACAGAAATTTCAACCAAAGATCAAACCGGCTTGGGAAGTGGGGGATTTACCGAAATATGACGCTCACTGCGATTCTCTAGCATCTTGTGCCAGATTGCTGTGGCATCCGGACTTTCGCCAGCTGCGAACAAGTCACAGCGATCGCGAACATCGCAGTTCTGAGATCGATGACGAGGCCTGAAATGTAGGAGCGACACTTCCAGCATCGGTGCTGACAGGGGCCGGTTTGAGCTTTTGTAGTTATCAAGTGTTTCTTGAACATTGACACCACGAGAGAGTTGTATGCTATACTGAGTGAGGCAGCCATCATTCATGAGTTACTGCAAGACATGGCAGTTGAAAAATGGGGTGGGGCAGCCAGTGATCATGAGCTACTGCAAAACATGACAATCGGAAACCAAGAGAACGGGTGCCATGATTTTATGCGTGTTTTCAACCCCGGTGCTAAACTGTTGCACGCAGGTGCCGCGGCAACTGTTTAGAACTTGCAGCAATTCATGCGACTCGAAGCAATTGTCGCAAGAATTGAATCCATTGAAAATCCTCCCGGCAAAAAAATACACAGTATCTTGCACCCGGATTAGGAGTTACCTTGCGGACGGGGGTCCTGCAACGTCCCTAGCCTGTCTCCCACCTGCTCTCACCTCATGACAACCGCTTCGAGAGGGATCGTTCTCTGAATCAGGTCCTCAAAATATAGTACGGCACCCATATAAACAGGACCCTAAAAGGAACCCTGACTTGGAACGGCCTCCTGCCGAAGCACGACTATGCGAACCGACAGCCTCGTGGGTTTAATCTATTCATGAATGCTGCCCGCTTGAGGAGGCAAATCGGGTCTCACGAATGTCATATTGCGGCAAGGGCTCAACAGCGAGTGGCAGGCTCAGCCAGAGTTCCTTGGACCAGGGATCTAAACCCCTCAGGCGACTGCATCATGTTTAGCAAGCCACATCGTCGCCTGCCAGAAACTGTAGCTGTAACACCATACTGCTGCCGGCGAGTCGCCGCCTACTGTGCAAAGCCACAGTGTTTTGAAGCACAACCCAGAGAACCCAATACCCCTTAGCTAAGCAATATACCTTAAATCATATTAGG